GATCTTATCCTTCCTTTCTAATGAATAATATCAATATTCGCCTTACTTGTACACACTGATATGAATATAACAAACATATGCAATTATACACCTATAATCACATCTGTTTATTTATCTATTTACTTAAGCATACAAGCTACAATCAAAGGTCTCTAACTTTGACTCAAATGTCCTGATCTCCATTTTTAAGCTCCATCTCTGGACCACTTTCAGCACATCTGCTATTTTTTGATCACTCCATGGAAGACCTCTGCTGACCACTTTCACTCAGGACTTCCAGGGAAGCATCTAAAAATACTACAGATGCTGGAAGCTGTCCAGAGATGTGTGAGAGGATGACCTTAGAGGGAGATCGGGCAAACTAAAATCAGATAAGGTTTTTGCTTTTCACGGGCAGAGTCGTGTCATTCTTTGATTTCCACGCGTACTGTAAAAAAAGCTGCTTATGGTGTTTTTTCTGGTAGTGTTGCAGCTCCTAAAGGGAGCAGGTGGAGGAATAACTGGAGGACAGCTGACTGCAAAAACATGACAATATTTGACGTTTGAGGCGGCAGCGTGTTAATGCGGCTGCTGACAGAGACTCACAAACATCAGTGTGTGTGTGTTCAGTGACCGCTCTCGGGTGTCACCACAGGAACACACAGCAATGAGTGTGTGTGTGTGTGTGTGTCACATACTTCTCATTGCCACTCCTCTTTGATTGACGTTGTTATGATGTTGTCTTGACCGGTTGCCCAGGCAACTCCTCCTCACATCGTGAAGGGATGATGACATGCAACAACACACACGCACACATTATCAGCCTGTCAAAATAAAAGCTTTGGCAGATACGTGGTGATAAATATGATTCATTAAGTTAACGTCTAAATCATCCCTGTGTTGTGTGTAACCACTGTGTGTGTGTGTGTTCCTGTGACCTTCAGCTCTTTTGCCTCTTGCTGAGCAGCTCTGATTTTGGAAACACAAACAGCTGCAGCATGAAGGCTGACCCTCGGGACTCATAATGGGACCATTAGAGTGAAAAACAAAACAGTGCAACTTACAATTACTTTCCTAACAATGAATCATTCGGACTATTAAACATCAGAAAATGGCACAAATGTTCAGCACAGCTCCCCAGAGCTCTGATTCATTATAAATGGGCTTTTTTGTACAACCGACAGTCCAAACCCAGAAAATATTTAATCCACAAACTGTATGAGAAAGAAAAGCAGCATTTCTTTTACCTAAATTAATGATTTCCAAATTGTGGGCCAGAGTTGCCTGGAAGGTTGTGAAGGATCTGCAACTGGGCTACACGAGGTCATTTAAATTCCCATCCTGTCATGTCTTGATCCTTTAATTCCCCGTGGAGTTATAGAAGCACTGAGCACACGAGCAGGATACCAATCCACTATCTGGAAAAGTTTTCCATGTTCACTTCTTGATGTTTTCACACCATCGCTTTCTCCGTCTTCCTCTGCACTACTTCCCTGGGCTGTTTCTTTAGTCATTTCTTGTGACCTTTTATTGCAAATAAAGGGAATGATTTACATTAACTTATTTCTAATAAAACACCTTTGATAAGACCAATCTAGGCTCTACCCCTGCTTCTTACCCCATAGCTGCTGGCACAGGCTCCAGCATGCCCACAACCCTGAACTGGATTAGTAGCTAAGAGAAAGGATGGAAACACAGCAGTAAGTTTGAAATTACATGTTATTTCAAATTTATTTAACAATTTTGGTCACTTGTGACTCCAAATAAAAAAGACAGCAATCACAAAAATGCTCAAATCAAAGCTTAAAACAGTGAGAAAAAGGTTCACAGAACAGAGTGACGTCATGGTGTGTGCCCATCTTTTATATACATGTTTCTATACTCTGAGTGCTTCACTAGCAGGATACAAGCTTAAATCTTCATTTGCATTTAATTTCTTCTTTTTATGTGGATGGAGTACTCATTTACATATACAAAACCAAAATTTGTAGCTTAATGCTTTATCGTAGTCATGTGTGTTGATGAGGCTACAGAAGATTTTTATGAATTAATTGATTGATTTTAGGCTTCTTAATCAACTAATTACTGTGGCTCTGATCTGAAAACCCAGTTGCTGTCATGACTCTTCAGGAATGAACAAGCAGGCACAGCTGAAAGTGCAGCAAACGAAGAAGAATTAAATCTCCGGACCAGCATCTGGATATAAACGTGTAACAAATGCACCAGCTTTCATTCTTTATTGTTAAATCAGCTGACAGGTGAAGCATCCTCAGCATGTCCAGCTGCACACAGACTTCAGGAGGAGTCGGAAAAAATGAAACATTTAAAGGAGCGGTTCAACATTTACTGAAAAACTTGATTCCTGTTAAGAAAGAGCCGTTCTAAGCTTTCATGTCTTTATGCTGCTTCATTCACACGTGACGGCTGAAAGAGCTACGTGGTGACATTTTCTCTGATCCCACGCCCACGCTGCACACTACCTACGCAGCAACAGCCTGTTAGCTTCCAGTTAAGAAAACTAAAGATCACCAATTCAGATGTTCGATATCTGGAATGAACTAAATGCTGAAGTGCTCCTTTAATAGGATTCAACCTGGTGTCGCAGTTTGCAGTGTAGCAGCGGGTGGAAGCTACACAACCGGCAGACGTTTAAAGCATTTGTGATTGGCTGAAAAATGACGAGTGTCAGAAACTCCAAATTACAGATTTCACATAAGATAAATAAAATAAGATGTAATTGCTGAAGCTTTGAGCTTCATTTTCTAGCTTAGTGGTACTTATCGGATTAGTTACTGATGACTTCATTGACTCATTATTGGCCTTTTTGGGGTTCAAATTTAAACTCTTAAGCACCTGGTGTCTCTGTGGCCCACAGTTACCATGGAGACCAGGTTAAGTAGCAGAGGACCGATTGACAGGAAACAGTAAAAAACAATTGGGAGGTGTCCATAAAGTCTCCACAGGAACAGACACACAAACATCCACAAACACTTCATTTACCGAGACCTAAACAGGAAGTCAGCTTTGGCGTTCAAAATTAAAGTAAATCAATAAATAGAGCAATATAAACCCTTCAGAATAAAAGTAAAATAGCTGTGCCAGTAAGTGATTGTAAAAAGATAAAGAGTAGCAGTCTGCTTTATTACTGCTCCATCCAAGAGGGAGCGCCTGAGCCCAGCGATGCCCGGGACGCTGGTCTGGACCCGGGTCTGGGCCTCAGTCCAGTCTTCCTCCTGCCCAGGCTGAGGACTTCCTCTAGGGGCTCAGTGGCCTCTCCGCTCGCCCGGCTAACGAACACTGAGGGAAGGTGCGTGGTGGCCATCTCGAACCTCAGCTCCGCCGCGTTCTTAGCGCGGGAGGAGGCGCCCTTCCTTTTAGTCCTGGGCTGTGGTGAGGGCAGAGGGAATGCCGGGACAGGCCTGTGTGAAGACGTGTCTGCTGTAGCAGCAGAGGCCGAAGAGCCCAGTTTGGCCAACGCCACCGGGATCTCCTCCAGAGACTCAGCAGAATCTGAGTGGTACTCGGCGGGAGGGGCGGCAGCCTGGACGGGGCCTGAAGTGGGGGCCAAGGGGGGCAGCGTGGCCCTCAGGGGGAATGCTGGGAAAGGAAGCCGCTGACCCAAGGACACAGTGGACACATTGCTGGGCTCTGCTAGAGAGAAAGAGACAGAGTCAGAAACAATTTACTTTCTTAGGAAAGAAAGAGGAAATTATTAATGTCATCATTTTTTAGAACATTTAAGGACATATTTCAGGCTTTCTGCCAGACATCGATGCAATTGTTTCATATTTGTAAAGGCTTTATTCTGTGCAGGAGCAGCTCTGTGATCCAGGAACAGAAAAATACACATTCCCACGCTACCTGATATCAGTTGCTCAAATCCCACAGCTCAGAGTCATTGCATGTCCTGACTGAATGCCACTTGAGACTCTGATTCTAACCTGAAGGAAAACACCTGAATGTTTTCCTGACTGGAGAGTTGGGGACCCTCGAGGTTAAGGCTGTGTGAATGGAAGAAGATCTCGGCTATTAACGATGGTCAGAATTGCCACCAATAGCTTGCCAATCGAGCTATATTTTTAGCATATGTGCCCATTCATCCCACCCAACCATTCTCTTTAATACATTAAATTAAAATGATCACCCTATTACGAGTCATTAGGAGTCTTGCTGCTCTTGGAATGAATGCATGTTTGGGAAGCAGCTACAATACAATGATTCATCATCCAAAATAAGGAGAGAAAACAAACATAGGGTATTTCTGTCTGTTATTCTGATTTAATACAGCGAGCAACATTTTAGCTGTCCAGCAGATAGCATCTGTTTATGGTTATCTATTCCCCCCCAATTTTTCCAGGTTTTTCCAGCAAATGTGAGAAGTGAAATAACCAAAACAGCAGCACCACAAATCTACACCACGTTTGGACTTGCTCCAACATCACTACAGGTCTGAACAAGATGCTTGTGAGAAGAGTAAAAGCTTTGTTGGTGTGACTCTAAAATTAATAAATGACAGCTGGGATCCTGAGAACAGGTACATGTTTTGTTAAAGGAGTTCAAAGTTTAGACGGGAGCTACCTGAGGACTGTCTGCACTCAGTGACCCGAGGCAGGTCACATGTGCAGCTGAAACATCAGTGTGCACAGCTGCACATGTGGAAGTAAGGGAGAAAAAAAACAGGTGGAAGGGTTCAGGTTTAGGTCAATCAGTGCTCCCACCTCAAATCTAACAGTTTGTTTTGCTTTTTTACGTTGTCGAGCTGCTCTTCCACCCTGACTTAAGGTGACAGGATCTGCTGTGTGAACACGGGACGGGCAGACGGACAGAAGCTTTGAGTGTTCCTGGTTTTGAACAGTTTCAGAGGAAAATCAAATTAAATTAAGCAGCCTGGATATGACCAAACTCAAAATGTTGCAAACTCTGTCTTTTGATTAGTTTAGCTCTTTCATCCCAACAGCTTTTCAGTAACTTTCTTTTCTATTCTTTTTTTTAAGCCTTCACTTGTTTTCACTTTGTTTCTGTGTTTAATCAGCTGGTGCCAATAAGTTTGACCTCTCCAAACAAATTCTGTGAATGGATTTGTTCTTTAATGTCAGATTTCGGATCTGTAATTGTAAACAATTTTCTCTTATTTTAGTTTCCAAAAACAACATTAGGAAAATATTTATTTTTGCTGATTAATCGTGTGCTATGCTAACTGAACTGACTGAAACTGCCCTCCGCTGTAAGGTCAACTGAAGCACCTTTATTTGCCCAAGGCTTTGTTTCATGACATTTGTGTCAGCCCCGTTTTCTAACATCGCAGCTTCTGCTGTCAGACTTTCACTTCTGTGTGTGAACGCACCACAGGACCGCAAGGTTAACACCAGTAAATTTCAAAGAGGAGGTCGTTTAAGTGGAAAGCAGAGCAGACGCTTGCTACAGAGCAGCGGAACTTTGACAGCCTTTAGGTTCAGGTTAGAGAACACGGTGTGTTCAAAAGTGCCTTCATATGTACAGACAGGTGAGGCCATACCGGGAGGCGGGGCTGTGGCTGGGCAGCGCTCTCTGGTCACCTCTGCTGGGACTTTACGTACCTTCTTCTTCTTTTTCTTCTGCAGAAGAATAAAAATACAAAGCAGGTTTTTAAGTGCGGTCTCCCTCACTGCTGTTTTCGCATATTCGCTTCAAATATACACAAATTTATCCAAAGTTTCTCCTGATCCGTCAGACCTCCACAGTCTGTGCAACATCACACTGAACCTGTTATCGGGTGTGTGGTTTGTGGGCTTTTACCTGTGTGTGTCGATGTGTGTGTGCCGCTATGGCTTTCATCTCTGAAGAGACAGTGGGCGGAGCTTCTTCCTCCATGACAGGACTGGACATAGTCCTCACTCTACCATTAGCAAGGAACCTGGTACACACAAACACACACACAATGCATGATTATCTGATTGCGTACTACAGGCTGTACTAGTGCACCTAAAAAAAAAGTACCTGGATACTGTGCAAATCGTAGGAAATATTCTAATAATTTGAGACACTGGATTTGATGAGCTATAAGCCATAATCATCAACAGCAAAAGGGCTTAAATATTTCACTTTACCTTTAATGACTATAGAATAGAAACACATACACAAAGTTCTGTGAACACTAGAGATCACCCCTTAATACAGAGACCTCCTTCTCCACCAGCACAGTGTTGGTGCCCGATCTAGAGCCAGTTCCTCAGATTTCCACCAAATAAATAAATAAATAAATAAATAAATAAAGGCCTGGCGCTGATGTTAAAAAGCTGACACCAGCTTGGTACAACAAAGCTGTGGAGCACAAAGTTGGAACCAATAACACGGAGCTAGATCTGCATTGGCACCATGTTGGTGTAAAAGAGGTAATAATGTCAATAAAAAGTAGCACACTCGTCTCCTTCACTGGGAGAAATCTCAGGTAAAGAAGACACATACTCAGAAAAAAGAAAAAGGTTATTACAGCTGTTGTGGAGAGGCATGTGGCTCAGGGTCAGCACTCCAGCGTCTCACCGTCGATCAATGAACCCTGTCAGTGCAGGTAAATAATCTACCTGTCGGTCGCTCACAGATCATACTAACGCTGTGCTTCTGTAATGACCTGACACACTGGAACTAGAACAATTTAACTGGACAACGACAGATTCTACGTGTGATTAAGTATCTAAACTAGTTTCCCTGTTTGTCAGCGTTTTATTTTGTGCCCTCCACGTTGTTCTCTGACTGTTCCTGCTCCACTATAAAAAAGGTTTCCTACGTCTCAGATAGACAGGATTCAGAGCAAGTGTTAAAGTGAGTGGGATTATTTACCAAGCCTTTCTGTCACACACACACACACACACACACACACAAAAAGCCTCCTCCCTTTAGCTCACACACACACACAATCCACACTTTGTTTGCTTCCTGAAAGTTGAAGCCAAAGAATTTCATGTTGCACTTTGTTTTCTGCAAAGAAAACCGTGTCCATGGCGACGAGGTCCGGCCTCCTCGTGTGGTGAAATAACTGTTGCCAGCTGTTTACTGAGACGTGTCGGGACCCGGTCAGTTCAACTCAGCCAATCACACGCGCCGGCTTTAAGTAGGACCCGGCCATCTGAACCAGAACAGGAGGAGCTGAGAGACTTACTCTGCCTCTCCTCGCACGGCCACAGCAGTAGGTTCCTGCACGTCCAGCTGAGGGTTGGTGTAACCCAGAGTCCCTGAGTAGTTCACATCCTGATGAGGGGACAGCAGAGGACAAAGACTCAGAGCCTGAACTCAACCCCACCCAAACCAGACTCTTTCTCCCTTTATTAACAGAGCTTATTCGCCTGCCAGTCAGTCACCTTGAGGACTGAAGGAGCTGCCGTCTCTTTCACAGATCCCGGTTTCCTCAAGTCTCTGTTGTCCACACGGTGGCGCTGCCTCACTATGTACTCGTACGTACTGAGCCTGTTCCACACTGAAACACACATACGTAAACATACATTTCCCCAGACCCTTGAACCCCGACATGGCCTTTAAAGGTCTGTCTTTGTGAAGAGAAAGAGGAAGTGGACTAAATGTCCTCAGAGGACCAGTTAAAAACACACACATAACACAAAACACACACCCACAGGATTTGTTCTGAAACACTGACGGGGTCTTGCAGCATTACCATGAGGTCAGAAACAAAGATTTAATAACCTCTGTGAGAGCGTAGACAAGACGAGGAAGGAAAAGCTCTTTATAGCTCCTTCATGCTGCTAAATAAACAAATAAATATCCAAACGTACGATATGCTGGCAGCATCACCTGAATGTGAGTGAAGTTATTAAAGAGAATATTTTTTTAACTGAATTTTCTCTCTTGGTTTTATCGAGCTGCAGGCGAGTGATGTGTCTGACTCAGACTGCTGAAGCCTCATATTGCTTTTAAATAAATGAACTCTGCAATAAATCTTTACAAAGAAGGCAGACTGTGGATTTTATGCTCAATTCCCACTGAGCAGCACATCAGGTCCAATCTGAAGAAAAGGAATTATTAAAGCAATACAAATGCTGATGGCCCCCCAGTGCTACCCCTCAAAACCTTAGTAAAATGCTCACGTAAATATCTGATTGTTTACAAAATAAAAATAGTAGTAAAACTAGTAAAACTGATGCAAACTCACAGTTTTGTGGATTGTTATCTCTTTATAAAACCTAAAGACAACAAATGGATTCTGAAACAGGAAAACCTATTAGTTACTTTGAAAGAAAATGCTGTTTTGAAGGGACCTTTTTTTTGCCCCACTGTCATAAATACAGAAGCCATTCTACAGACTAACGTAACGTGTTGCCTGTGAACTGCACTGCCTGCATTTCATAAGCATGCTGTACCTGCAGCAGATCACCACAGAAACTTAAATCTGTGATGTACTAAAATCGGTATGTTATAGAATAAGTCTGAGGCTGAGCTTCACTGGGATCATTTTTACATACGTTTTGAATTTTGAAAATATTTATTATGAACATCAGACATTACAACATTAACTGCTGGGCAGAAAATAAAGAAAAGCTTCCTCTTGTCAAAGATTTGACACGTGGACAGACAGGCAGGTGTGTTATTTCTTACTCAGGTAGATGTGGAAACAAAGCAAGTGGCAGAGCAACACGCAGGACAGAAGACCCAGAGCGATTGTGATGGCAGCCAGGACGGGAATCACCGGTGCAGCTGACCGGAGAGGCGCGACGGGCAGGAAGACGAACCACACACCTGTCTCATTCCTCACTGCGGGACACAAGAAGAGCCAACTGTGAAAACAGCATTTCTTCATTTAATGGCTGAATAACCAAACCCCAATATATCAGGAAAATCCAAGCACATCAGGTATAACTTTGAGTTTTTTTAGCTTTAAAATTTGTTGTCGTTGTATCTGTGAGCTGGCTGGGGGCGTCAGAATGATCTTTCTAATATTCCTCCTTTTTTAGTTTAACAAAATTTCAGGTTCACGATGAAACATAATAAAAAGTCATTTATAGAGAGACAACAGTGACCTTTTGAACAGCAAAAATCACCCTAAACTCACTGAAACAACTATAAGCTGTCGACAAACTAAATAATCTTCTTCACATGAAAACACGAGACTGAAGGACAAAGACATCAGTCATCTCACTCTCCTGATCTTCCTCCCTCTGCTGTGGATGTGGACTCTCCGCCTGCAGATAACACTGAGAGGAGGGGGCATGCTTTCTCATCCTGCAGCTAAGACTGCACACAGTTCAGTTCAGTTTGCAGGTTACTCCATTCACTGTGAAGCTGCTAAATTCAGAGTATCACTCACCTGTGCTTCTTGACAAAGGAATGGGCATGGTCAGCAACAACACTCAGGTAGGCTGTGGGGTTTAACTGATCCTGAGCTGGTACTAAGGGGCCCAAAGTGTGCCAAGATAATATCCCCCACACCATAATACCACCAACTTCCCGAAACGTTGATATGAGGCAGGATGACGCCGTGCTTTTCACTCCACATTCTGACGCTACCATCTGAGACTCATCAGACCAGGCAAAAGTTTTCCAATCTTCTCTGGTCTAATTCTGTTCAGCCTGCAGGAGCCTCAGTTTCTCTTGAACAGTGGCACCCAGTGTGGCATTCTGCTGCTGTAGCCCATCTACTTGAAAGTTTGACATGTTGTGCATTCAGACATGTTCTTTTGCATACCTTGGTTGTTACAAGTGATTTTCTGCGTTACTCTGACCCTCCTATCCGCTTAAAGCAGCCAGGCCATTCTCCTCTCACCTCTGGTATTTTCCCCTTGAGAGCTGCTGCTCACTGAATACTTTCTCTTCTCTTCTCTCTTTCTCAACCCATCTCTGTAAACCCACAGATGGTTTGTGTAGGAAACAAACTACTCAGACCAGCCCACCTGACACAAACAACCATGCTGCATTCAGTCACTTTAATCACCTTTCTTTCCCATTGTGATCCTCAGCTTCCGCTTCTTGATTTCTGAACACCCTAACTGAGATTTCTTTTAAAATTTTTAATAAACACTATAGACTCACAGCTTTTTTACAAGGTCAGAGGTCAAATCTTACCCAGAAAGTGTTTGTCGGTGCGGAGTTTAGTGGGGTCCAGAAAGAACTCGATGAAGACGTAGGAGGCAACAACAAGAATGAGACAAACTCCCAAAAGAGCTGAGATCACACTGTGGAGGAACAACCTGCAGGACACACAGCACTGCTCAGCACACACGCCTAATGGGCATGAATGTACAAAATATATATTTCAAAAACATTGATTAAAATATTTAAAATACATAACATTTGCTATCTTTGCAGCCCATGTCTATGTTGCTCCAGTATTTTAGAAGAGACTTTTGGAAATGCTTCTAACTCTGTTTTCAGTTAATGACACTTTCATCATTACAGGCAGAAGCACAGAATTATAAAAACAATGACAGACACCGACTCCTCACTGAGTCACATCAGACACGACGCATCCTCCTCTGATTCATCACTCCCATCATATGGCAGCTGCCTCGTTCTGTTAGTTTGTCTGTGTTGCGGTCGTGACTTTCCTGTTTTAAAGACTTTTAATGTTGGAAAGACTCAGATGTGCACGTACAGGTGCAACAGAATCTCCTTTTCTTAAAGGAGATTCAGTGCTTTGCACAGAGCTGTATAACAGCCTCACTTCCCTGTCAGAGACAGCTGTCTTACTGGGAGTGAACCAGTGTCAGGTGACAGCATCCTTCATTGTTTGACTCCACAGAAAAATAAACCAGTACTCACTTATAGTTCCTGCTGCCCACACAGTTGTTGAGCCACCGGCAGTGATGGTCGAAGTTCGCCACACACTTGTTACAGGCGCTACAATGTTTCGACTTCGGTCCCCTGAAACAACCACATACATATATCTGTGTTTACAACGAAGTGCAGCCTAGTACTAGCACTACTATACAGAATGTACAGCACGCATTGTGATACAAATCTAACTGAAACACATTCACGTTTGATGACTTTACTGCTTTGGTAAAACAGTACCAGTCAAGTTTGTTTTAATGTGTGTGGATGTTTAATGTGTGAATGAGAACTTTTTACTTCCAACACAATTCAGGTTCTTAATACACAAAATGGTACATAACTGTTATTTAAACAGCCAATCCCAGAGTTCACATCCTGGCGTTGTAAATAGGCCGTATATGCAAATAAAACTGAGGAATAATGAGGTCAGTGCACATGAGATAAAAGTCTTTTTTCTACTTGTGTGAGAAGCCCCGCCCACCAGCTGCACAAACTTCTGAGGGGCAACCAATCAGAAGAAAAATAGAAAACTGAAAAGAGCTAAAAAAAAAAAAAAAAGCTCAAAAAGCTCGTTTCAGACAGGGGATGAACTGCAAAGATAAATGACATCATTTTTAACTGGGAGTCATGCAAAGCTACTCATGGAGCAGCACAACAAGCATAATAAACCACCTTTAAAATTAGTTTTCAGATTCTGAGTCAATGTGTAGCTCCTTCTCTGGAGCAGATCCAGAGGATTGTGGGTATTCATATCCGGTCCCAATGTTTATTCTGAAATGGGAGTGCTGCGCAAAGCAATGTCAGATCAGATCCAGGTTTGAGAGGGGGTTTACGGTCTGTAAGAGCCCCTGTGACCCAGTTCTCTGAGGCCTCCTGAGACCAGCCCACTGACCCATTTTTTTTTTTTCCTCAGAGGTTGTCACTGCAGTTCAGCTCAGCTCATCACCTCCTGGCTTCAATGAGCAGCTCTATTATTTACTCAGGAACTGAGCTGCATTCAGCTGCTGAGGACTATGCAACACTGCAATTAATGAAGCCAGTAAAATATTTAAATGGAGACTTAAAATCAGCAGAATTCAGTGGTGAAGAGCTCTTGTCTGCAGTGCAGATGTACAGACAACTGGAAGCAAGTCCCAAACTGTTGTTTCTCTGAAGATCAGTTCTGATTCATATCAAAGATGACAATCAGCTCACGCTAAACCGAAACATCCATCCATCCATCCATTCGCTTCCGTTTATCCTTTTTCAGGGTCGCGGGGGGCGCTGGAGCCTATCCCAGCTGTCATAGGGCGAGAGGCGGGGTACACCCTGGACAGGTCGCCAGTCTGTCGCAGGGCCAAACCGAAACATGTGCACCTCATTTGTGTGAGCATACTGTGAAACAGCTAATTCCTCTCGGCATTTCTTACATCTAAACAGGCAGAGTCTGGAGGGTCACCAGACTGCCTGAACTGTTTCTTTAGATCAACAGTCTGAAAAAAAATCAAATGTTTTTATAGTGAATCTACACAAAGACCCTTTCAGAGTCTTTGTGTAGATTCAAATTCTAAGTAACAGAAATATTGTTAGATTTAAGTGTGCACAATAGGGCCCGGTATCGATTTCTAGAATCAATTCGATTCTGATTGACAAGGTTCGATTTGATCCACGATTTTGATTCAAATCAGGGAAATTTTGCCTCAAACAGTCAGAAATATTATAATTCTGATTATTTATCAGTACTGACACTTCTGAGACTTCATCAGAGGTGTGAGCATCACAGCAGATGTCTTTGTGTCAAAGTAACTGAGGATAAAACAAAAAACATGAAGGAGATTTTCCTGGCCTGGCTTTTTATAGCAGATAACCTTAAAAATATTCTGCAGTAGAACATTTTGAAAAGTTTACATTTCTTCAGAATTGAACAGCAGAAATGAGTTTTTCTTTCAGAGGTCTTTTTAAAAAAAAAAACAGCGGCCGACAGCGCTGTGCACAATGGTAAACTGGTGGGTAATAAGCAAGCAAATAATGCAGAAAATTGTGAGTTTTAGATGGGAAACTGTTCTTAAAGTACACTGAGAGAGAGAGAAAGAGCTGTGCAGGAAGTGTGAATTTATTGTGGTGGAAGCAAAACCGCAAAAGTAAGACAGAATTCATGACGATGCTTATCTGAAGCGTAATGTGAAGCTTAGTTTGGATCTTCTTTTGCTGCTGGTTCAGTCAGTTTTGGTTGGAGAGAGATGAAACCTGCAGCATCAGAATCTAGCGCCAAAAAAAACAGTAAACAACGCGCGGACCTGACGCATCAGAATGTGTGAGGTGACAGTTTTCAGCCCCGACGATGTGTCCGACCGCGTACGTGCCGTCTGGTGAGAAAGCCCACAGCTCACTGATTCTGATGCATCAGGTCCACGCTTTGTGTTTACGTCTTTTTGCAGAATCCGTTTACCTGCTCTCATTTACTGTTTTAGCTGTTTGGTGGTTGCTGAAATAGTTTTGTGAGGTTTAACCTACATTTTTAAAAATAGATTCAGGATTTTAATGAATCGATATCGCTTTATTTAAGCTAAAATCGATTTTCATCGGAAAATCGATTTTTGTGATGTTCAGGACATAAAATGTCCTGAACATTACACTGACTTTATGCAAGCAGCCTGGCAGGTTAAAGACCATATGAGCTCTGATCTAACGGAGATGGACACTTGCAATATGTTAGGTAACATCTCAAAGGGTTCATGACTGCAGAGCATGCTTTAAAAAGGTTACAAGGAGCGGTGGACTGGAGGGAAGGAACCATTATGGGTTTAAAATTAAATTTAACATGACACATTTTCAGTTCTTTCAGCTGAAGCTTTATGACTTCGACTTCAGATCAGTGACACTTTGTGGCATTAATAAATAAATGCAAAGTATGTGGCTGTAAATTAAATAAATCCACGACACCTTCACTTTAGTTATGGAACAAATCTTTTCTGTGCATGCAGAGAGACCCCTGATAAACAAACATGCTTAAAAAAATGCTTAAAAACACCGGAGTCTGATTGGACAGTGCAAATCCAGACCATGTGACAAGCAGCTCAGAAGATGAAGCAAACTTCAGTTCATGTTCATGTTGCTACCAACAACACCAAAGCTGCTAACAGCTGACAAGCAGTTTGTGTCTGCATGTGTGTGTTTGTGCAACCTGCAGAGACTGTCCTCCTGTGAGAGACACCCAGCAGGGACATGCCAATAAAAACTCCAACAGCAGCTCAAGTAAACATACCTCCGTGACCTATTTGCAATGTTAGCTTGATAGGAAGCAAAAGGACAATTTGAGCTACAAAATCTCAGCTATTAACAGCCAATGGGGAAACTTGATCAGAAAGAGTTTCAGCCAGTGTTAGCACCATCTGCTGGCAGCAATCCACAGTGTGGTAGTTTTGATTAACCAGATCATTCGGGGTTAATGAGAAAAATATAAAACAGATGGGGTTCCTTTTGTTTGTTTTGTTTTTTTGGAGACCTTAGACAAAACCTGATTTCATCTAAAAGGTATCAGCCAACACCAAGGCATCAACTGAAATAGCTGCCTGGGCCATATTGCTGCACACGAAGGGGTATAAAGGCCTTTTAGGCTAAAATGCAACAACTATGCCTGCATCTCTTGGAGGAGTTACAACACAAATGAGTATCCGTCTGCAGCTGTCTGGGTCCAATAGGGTGTGCCATACTGAATCGCCCCTAATAACATCGGTTTAAATTTTGAAGTTAGATAAAAGTGTCATATCATGATATCATAGCAAGATCATGTGTTTATTTTTCCGAGTGCACAACGAGATGAGCCCAGGGATCTCTGAGAGCGAGAGCCACGTGTCAGCATCCACTTACAATTCAGTGCTCACCTCAACCTCCAACAAAGCACAGTACTACTAGAAAAATAAGCAAGAAAACTGCTCCTGCTGGAGATGGACAACTGTGGCAAATATGTTTCACCAGAGATATACCTCCAAATTGAACCAGCCAACAGCTGGTGACGTGTGACCCAAAAGTAAACAAATGGCTCAGCGACCATCTCTTTTAAAACTACTGCACTATAATGCTGCTGCTGCACCTTGTAGCAATAGATTCACCCATTGCATTAGGTGGTCACAGTAACTCACTGAAAAATATTTTTCATTTTGCCAGCATAAAAAATGCAACTGCCTGCAAGCGATTACAGATCATTTAATTTTTTTGTCTGTATCCTCATAAATATAATTTATATCATGAATATAATTTTTGCAAATTCCCTTAAAAAAACATGACAGAATTTGGAAGCTATATCCTTACCAAACCCTAGCGTCCACTTCACAAACAATATAATCACTATAATTAATACATTAGAATCATACAAACAACACATTTTATATAAAAAGTGAAAATCACTTGTTTTACATTTCAATAAACAAGAAGAAAATAATGTGTATTGCTCTAAAAGGTAAATTGCTCAACAGCAAGTGTAATTACAAAATTTAAAGATGATCTGTACACATCCCTATTTTTAAAAAAATATTCCACAGCACGCTGAGACTCACCCTGAGATTAGTGCATCGAACTAACCCGACAGCATCCCATCTGAAGAGGCTGTGAGCTTTCAAATTTATCACCGCTGCTGCTGACTCATCAACAAAACTCAACAATGACCATAAAACAGCTAAATGTTAAAATACAAGCTTAGAGAGCACTTGAGAGTTTTTATCATTGGCATGAAGGTATCCGGCAGTTACATGCGTTGAAAAGCCTCTGTTTGTTACTCACACTTCGACCTGGCACAGGTAGCAGTGGCAGTTCTCGATGACGTGCGCGTGTTTGGAGCGGTCGAACACGGGGACCGGGCCTCGGACGCTCTTCGCTCTGACATTGTAGTCGGCTGGATCGATGGACACGGCCATGACGTGGACAAACAGGTGACACACAAACATGATGCCCGTACACTGACACAGAGATCAGGAATCAAACACAGACACGCCGGAGCAACACTGTAACACCTCACCTAAAGAAAAGACCTGAAATCACTGTCTGTCCCCTCAGTAACAATAACTCAATGCTATCAGACAATGTGGAAATTACATTTTGAATAGGGGTCATTTTTCATATTTTCATAGGCATCAGACACTACCAAAAACAGCTCCCTAACACTGCCAGACTTTACACTGGCTGTGCTAAATAAACCAGCAGACAGAATGAATAAATTATAGATTGTCGACTGTACAACCAAAGTATCTGGGACACAAATTTGAGAACTCACCTGAATTACGATCCAGTTAAAATAATAAAAACTGGAATTTTTAGAAGACAAAAACGCGAAATATTTAGATAAAAGCTGTAATAATTTGAGGAAAAGCATCGTCAGCTTTTGAAAGACAATTTGCTCTATTCTTTGACTAAACTAACACTATATTTTAAGGAAAGACGTCTTACTATATTTTGAGGAAAACCTCACTTTTTTTTCCATAGAAAAAAATGCTACTGGTGTAGAAAGTTCACATGTGTTTATCTGTACACCTCGCTACCAGTGGTGAGGTGGTGGTCTGTCCACGCAGTGGAAGGATACGATGTAGCCCGCAGGGATCCAATGTGCAGGCAGCAGGGGGACGAATATGCCAAACCCGGTGACGGCAAAGTAGATGTAGAGCAGCCAGGCGAGCAGCTGAAAGGGGTGCGGAGGCCAGCTCCAACCGTTGGTCCGAGAGCAGAGCAGCACGTCAGCTCGCCGTGGGCCGTCCTCACCGACCGGCGCCGTCCGGTTCGGGTTCCTACAGCACACGTCCATCCCGAACGCGCATCCAGCATCAAAGAGCTGCCGTTTGTTGTCAGGCACAGAGCGTGGTCTCCATCACATGAGCGAGAGAGTAACCGCAGGCTGAAGCTGCATAAAGAGCCGCTTCATGATCAATGAGTTTGAGCTGCAAAGGAAACAGAGAGAGAGAACAGAGGCTCTGATTCAAACAACAACACACAGACCAACAACAGCTCTGCAGCATCACAACAGTGTGTCCCACTGTACAACACACAGCTGCAAACAGCAGTGATCTGAGACCATCAGCCCAATTAGCCACAATCAGTTTTCCACAAACCCTCAGCTTCCACCTTTCTGTAATCTGAACATCTGGGGTGAGGTGGAGTCTCTGAAGTCTTAATAAAACAATTATACCCTTTCCCTAAATTATTCATATCATCAAATAAGTTACATTTGTTATTTGAGTTATGAGTTGTTGTTTTTTTTAATCCAGGGTCCATTTTCTGATTATTGTCATGATCAGTTCATCTGCTGGTTAATTTCTTTATCAGTTTGTCTTTGACAAAAGTCTGCATACAGCTTGGATTTGTCCAAGCAGGCTGAGATAGTAAACAGATTATTAAACAGCAGAGGTCTTTAATTGAATATCAGAAAAGATGCAGTTAATTTTCATAATCCAATCACCTCAGCTGTAAGTTTTCCAGCTCCTGTTTTTCCTGTCTCTGTTCAACTAATCCATCATCTGAGTAATGATGGTTTCACACACTGTTATTTTACTGGCTTAGACCTGAATTTATCAAAGTGTAATCAGGGGGAAATTGTTTATGTGTTTGATTCTACATGCATGATTTTTTTTTTCAAACGTTCCTGCTGAGCAGCTGGAACCAGACAACACTGCCTTCTACATGCTGCAGCTGAGGAGCAGTTCATTCATTAAGTAACCGAGTGAATGATGCAAAAAAAATAAATAAAAATGAAGTATTAATGAGTCCTCACAACAGCATCACATAATTTATCGACAATTTTTTTTGGCTTCACCTCACCACCGGACCTCCTGCTGTACGAGAGGGCAGCCCACCTGGTTAACCGGTACCCGAGCCTCATCTCATCCCGGAGCCCGGGCCTGAGCAGCGGCGTGAAGCTTTGCCGTCCCCCTTGTCCCAGGGGAAGGGGGCTGCTCTTGGGGTAAACCACAGAGATCCACAGATCTGGGCCACACCGTCCCAGTACTCCAGCTGTTAACTCACATCCATCCCGGTCGGCAGCCGCAGTCCTCGTTTTATCCCTGGACCCAAGCTCATCCACTGTCGAGCGGCCTCGCCGAGACCGGTGCTCAGGGAGAAACTGTGATTGGTATACAATTCTGATTAGCTCGCCAGATAGCGTGCTAAGCTGCTAACTAGCGGGACACCGCTGCTGCCATGCTTGCTCTCACTCCGGCAGACGGAGGGGGGAGGGTAACCGCAAATCAACCGCAGAGCGTAACGTTTAATATTTAAGGTGAACGACTGTTTTAAAAATTTAAGATCGCTGTGGATCCCATTAGCCTGCTAGCATGATACCCGTTAGCCTATCTGCTGCTGCCTTCCACCGTCTCCTAGCGTCTTCCAGCCTCGTAAACCGTTTCCCTGGTAACGCCGTAGGTCCACACCTATTGGTAACTGGAGCTGACCCCGCCTACTATATGAATGTAAAAACCGAGCTCCGGGAACTGATAGTTGTGTTAGTGACGTGCATCCAGCAGAGGGCGGCACATCCACGACCAACAGAACGCCGCTATGTATTTATTTATGTTGATATTTGTATATGTGAACTAGAACCATTCTCTTCAGGCGTTTACAATTTTCGTTATTATTAGCATTATTATTATTATCCACTGTTATCTCGTTAATGTTTTAGATTTTTAATATGATTATCAATTATTAATTATTAATACTTTATTTTTGTCATTTTACCACCCGTGTTATATTTGATGTTTGACTTAGTTTTGTTTATTTTTTCATTCGTCTCAAAAACCATTTGCTGTGACCTCAGTTTTGTCAGTGGTTGGTAAAAGGGTGCTGTTTTTTTTTAGTATAAACTAAATCAGTCTCAGTTTTTGGTCGTTTTTTGAAAAGTTTCTCATTATAAGCTGATCAGATAAATGCTGAGAAGTATTGCAAGCTAAAAAGTGTTTATATATTTTAATGCTGTATTTTTATATGCAAATACAGCATATACAGCATATAAAAAGTAAGATGTAAGGTCTTTAATCTCATACATTCACATTTATATTTTTGATGCAACACTAAATTGTTACTTTAAGATCAAAGCAATTAATTTAAAAAAGATTACAACACGGATTCACTACATACAAAAGTACAAAAAAAGTACAGCTAATTCAATTAAAGCTGCCTTACATACCTTCTACCTCCTACACAGTTTTTTCATGGCTCTTGTGAACTCTGGTAATATTTCACTTGTTGGCATGGAGCGTAGCGCATTTACAATAGTCGACTTGAAAAGACACATCTGGAATGTAGCTGTTTTATGCAAATTCTGTCCTTTTCTTTTGCATTCTTCACTCTTTGAGCAGAAAGAAAAAAGCGTGAAGTTTGTTGAACAGCTTGTGACATGCACATATACAAGTTTACTGTGAATATTCAAAAGAATACAGTACAACTGACATAAATGGACATTTAAAAATTACCCAATGTATTTATTATCTCTATATGAGTAATTCAAATGTAATCCTCAAAAGGGAGTAGGAAGAAGTAAAGACTTTTACGGTTATGAAGTCTATCTATCTATCTATCTATCTATCTATCTATCTATCTATCTATCTGACCTGTTGTTTTTTCACAAAATGAAATTTTTACTGGTTCGTGTAACTTTATGAATGAAGTAACCCTGAGGAGCTCAGCCGTGATATCTGGCATCCTGTAGACATGACCTAACCCAGATACTATACTGGAACAATGCACATGAAAAAGTACAGTTAATCCGATTAAAGCTGCCTTACGTACCTTCAGCCTCCTACACTGTTTTTTCATGGCTCTTGTGGACTCTGGTAATATTTCATTTACTGGCATATTTCATGGCATATTGTTTACAGTAGCCAACGTGAGTGGGTACATCTGGAATGTGGCTTTTTCCATCCAATTTTCTCATTTGACTTTCTTTCCAGAGAACTCTGCAACATTTCTCCAAGTTGCAAAGGAGAAGGGTGTTCTTTATGCAGCATGTGTGCAGCTGATCCTGACATTAGATATGAAATAGGCTGGCTGTAGTTGTTTTGTTGGCATGTCCAAAGCAAGGATGTATCATTTTGTTAAATGTGGGGGTTGCCTCAACTCCTCTCTCCTGGAGTCCTCTATATGCCTCCTCCACTCGTTCCTCTGGTGGGAGTGATGAAAACATGAGGAGAGGAGGTGAGAAGAGAACTGAGGATGTATAAACTGAAACAATGAGGAGGGAATGACAAGGATACGCAGGGAAGACTGGGAAATTTTGCCCCCCCAGAAAATCTCATATCGTGATCTACTGGGCCACCCTAGATCCTTTTTATTTAACAAATGAATAAGTTCCTCAACCAACATCCTGAAAGGTCAAAAAATTCATTCATCGTCATGTTGTGAGAAGAAAATCAAGAAATTGGGATCCAAAGTGCAGATGCTTCATATTTCTGTTGAAACATGTGATAAAAGATGCAGGAAAAGTTTCTCCTGATATTATTTAACTGTTTATGTAGCTTCGGTCCAGCCGACCCCTGAGCTGTGCCGCTGTCGGATGCTGTAGGAAAAGCTCCACATGGAAACTTTAGGATCTCCTACAAAACCTGCTTATTCTGGTTCTGACTCCCACAGTGAGCAGAAAACGACAAACATGCACCTCACTGACAAATGTGGGTCCCACAGGGGCCTGCAGCGGTGCCATATGACGGGGCTCTTTGACTCGTCTGCAGGTTACATAACAGATTCAAGGTCTGATGGAAGGTGGCCAGCACTGAGTTTCCAGAGAGGAAACTACCTTTATGCACACAAGCGAACGTGAAGAATGCACGATCCTTCAAGATATCTGATCTTATCTTATTTTAACATCATTGTTTTACTGATGTTACACTCTTACAATGGCGTTAAACTAGGTTATACTTTTTATGACCAAAAGGAAATAAAACTTTTGCCGCACTGCAGAAATGTTCAGCACAAGTTGAGCTTTTGATATTACGCTGTTGTTAAAACTTGCAAAAAGGTTTTTAAAACAAGCCCAAAGCCCGGGAGGCTCGCAGCTCAGGTGGCATGTTAAAGGTCATGTGTTCCTCTGTGCAGATGTCAATAAAGTTGTGGTCACAATACTTTGGCATCTCACTTACTCTACTGTAGATGAACAAGTTGAAACTGAGTTAAGTTTTTTCAAGTCACAGATAAATTTAACTGCAACATTTGGAACAGCTCATATAATATGAGGCTAATTGCTTCTATGCAGTCTGGATCACAGCCTGTCTGATGGCTGAATGTAAAGCGGCTGTATTTAACAGGAAGAATCAAATCCTTAATCTCTGATAACTTTCCTCTCAGAGTTGGAGGGAGGCGTACGGCTGAGAGGACAGGAGAGGAATATGACACAATATTTTGTGATGAACTGGACATTTAAAGTTCATATGTGAAGTCCTCACTCATGTTAGACTTTTTAAATCAGTGAGTGGCTCTGCAGATGATGTGTTGCTGAAGTTATCTGGTTATTTCAGAGTGAGAAACGTCTTTGAAAACAAACTAATTATGATAATTCTATGTTATTTAAAGTTTATACTGAACAGACAGTACAGGTTAAACTGGGTAGTTTGCAGTATTGTGGTATAGTTTGCAGTGATGGAGAATGATGGATGAGTGCAGGGCAGACGGTGGTAGCAGTAGAGAAATTATGAAAGAAAGGCATGGCACTGAAAGGAAATGAAATCGATGAGAGGATTGTGTAACGGCAAAGCTGGGGTAGAAGCATGATGTCAAGTGAATAAAAGCTTTTATAATCATATCTTGGGGCAAAGTCAGCAACTTTTCTGTTTTTATGATCACTGAAATTACAGCAAATTTAGATAATATTTCAAAGTAGCCAAAAAATACCCAGTGATGGGCATTATGCTGAGCTGCTAGACTTGATCTAAAAGCACCTTTCACAGCCACATTTCTCTTGCTGTGAAATGTATATACACCTTCACCTCAACTGTTTTAATTATTCTTAAGGTTTGTTACAACTAAAGCAAATGACAATTCAATCAGAATAATAATATAATATTGGAAGAAACTATTTAATGAGCTTTAATGAATGTTTCAGGTAGGAGCAACAACTGGTTATGCTCAAGTTCAATTCATTCCAGCGCCAAGATTTCACTCAGGTAAGCGCCCTCTAAATTAGGGCAGGTAAGTCTGCAACTGAGACCATGTTAGAGTGGGTCGGGGAGGTTTTCAGGTAGGTTGGGATGGTGGGAACCAAAATACACCCCAGCCTGGTTACCAGTCTGTCACAGGCCAACACAGAGAGAATGACAACCATTCACAATCACGGGCTCTGTTCTGTGACTTCATACAGCAGGGGTAGGCAACTCCAGGCCTTGAGTGCCAGTGTCCTGCAGGTTTTAGATCGCACCCTGGGTTAACACACCTGAATCAAATGATTAGTTCATTACCAGGCCTCTGGAGAACTTCAAGAAATGCTGAGGAGTCATTTAGCCCTTTAAATCAGCTGTGTTGGATCATGGACACATCTAAAACCTCCAGGACACCGGCACTCGAGGCCTGGAGTTGCCTACCCCTGTCATACAGAACTGTAGGAATACAAATACTACCAATACTACTGTTCCAAACTACTCCAGTAAAAGTACAGGCCCTGAAATGTACTCAAAGTAAGAAAGTAAATAGTAGCTGTTTGGAGGACGTTTCTATTTTTGTGCAAAGTTAACTGAACCTTGGGCTGTGTTAACATAATGATAAAATATTATCAGTAGACAGGAATAAAAACGTTAGTCTAAGTAAAATTAAAAAAAAAAAATCTAATTACACTCAGCTTGAATCTACAGAAAAAGAAAGTGGATTCAGCAGGTGGGGGAACACTAAACTGGTTGTAATGGCTCAGTGTGGGGAACAGAATCAAACTCACAATCATTTCTATTGACAGCTCGAGGAGATTTTCTTAGTGTACAGGCTGTGATCAGCTGGCCTGCTGCTCTTTGTGGATGTGCACAACTGAATTCAACCAGATGTGAGCAGATGTTTGATGAGTTGTCCTGGCTGATTTCCATCCCCTACACTGACAGTGCAACGTTTATGCTGTCTGTTTTCTGGATGGTATGAAGTTGGTATGAATGTGGAATTCAGTCAGTGGATCTCAGCATCATCAGCTAAAATTCATATGAATCTCTGCTACACTTCATCTGAGCATGAAACTACAGCCACTGTGCACCAGTACAGTACAATCCATCACAGTACACCAAACTAACCTGTTTATCCAGCACAAACCTGCAGATGATTTTCATGCAGTCTTTAAACAACACAGCTGTTCTGGTGTTGTCAAACATGACAAAACCATAGACCAAGATGCCCTTGGATAAATCTGGAGCTGACCTTTTTAGCAGAGCTGGAAAGAAAAGCGCACTGAGCATGAGCAAAGGACAACTTTAAGTTTGAAGGCTCTGAGTTAAAAAATAAATAAATAAATAAATAAGTACGTTTGTG